CATGGAGCAGCCAGCCAACCCATGCCGATTAAGCGGGCCCCATCAACTGGAAACGGCTTCTGGCCTCCACCCTGTGGGAATTTTTCAGGTACAAAACCAACTGAAACCCCTTTCTTGATTTAATCTTGCTGCATGTGGCCTATTTCCGACCCCGCGGTACGGAGTACGGAGTACGAGTTATCAACCTGCATAAAATGCTTATTTGGCACAGAGGACACTTGACGTGTCCGGTTCATAATACATTCATATTAATAGTACTCCGTCATCTGCACAGTCAGGCTGACCACCAAGAAAGCAACGGTCGCTCCCACATCACCCTCTTGGCACGCGTTCTCCGTCTCATGTCAGCATCATGCGACAACCCGTTTCATCAACCCCTTTCCTTTCCTCTAGACGCTCTATAAAAGGAAAATGGCCATCCCCTTTACCCCCCAAAGAGCTCCACCATGGACCAGTTTACGTTTAATGCCCTGACACTTAGCCTGGTCTAGTGATGAGTGTCGGCATGCAGTGGCGGGTCCGATAATTTTATACCGAGTGCAGCGCAGTAGGCAAGGCCTTGGTGTGCGACTCATGAAGCCAAGAGGGTGGTGTCAAGCCCGATTCAGAATTGTGCGAGTGAATGGCGAGTACACGCTGTATGTCACTGGGCCTGTTCTCCAGAAGGGCTCGACAAACAAATGCCCTCTGTTTTTTGCGAGAGGCGACGACGGTGTACAACATGACATGTGCCTGATAGGGCGTGTCCAAATACGGAAACACTATATACTCATGTACATACATAAGTATGTATGTATGTATGTATCTTTGCATAGGCCAAAACTTGGGGGCCCTGCAGCCTCGGCCGTGGAGATCGGTGGCTTGCCACGCATCGTTTCGTCCATTTGAGTGTATGATGTGCTTCCGTACTTATATATCTGGTAAGTATTAAGTACCTAGGTATGTATGTGTATCATTCACTGCCGAGGTTCGGGGCAACAGCCTCATATTATGCATTATGCACGGATGGCGATGCCCCAATTTAGGAACACGCCTTGTTTCTTTCCCCAGGTCATGCATGGGAGCCCACAGGCGGCAGTGCCGAGGGCGTAAAACTGCGTTCACTCGGTGCAGACGACGACGCTTTCGAGCGGCATTGATAATGGTGGGCTCTGTTTCCTGTTTCGGTGCAAATCTAGCGTCTGTCGCGGGAGATGGCATTTCAGAGTCTAGAAAAGCCATCGCCTGCCTAGGATGCAAGAAGCATCCAGCCTTCTCCATGACACAAGGATGGATACCATGCACAATTAGTTGGGGTGTGACCACCAACAACGAAAGGTTATACAGAAAATTGGTCGAAGCCACTTTATGCTTGATGGGAACAGACAACAATATTTGGCCAGTCTATATTTCCGAAACGCCGTGTCTAAAATGCCAATGCCTCATAAAGTACCCTAGTCTTTCTTGAATTCTGTACAAAAAAAATTATTCTCATGATCTCAGGAACGTCTTGAATACCTCGGAGTTCGTGCACTCCTCAAACGGATAGTCGACATCTTTGAGGAACTGCGCCAGTTCACCGCTGTCTTCTTCGGGACATGAGATACCCGCCAGCACCTTGGCAATATCACCACCATAGTTTCGATAGTGGAAAAGGCTAATGGTAAATCTGGGCCGAAGGGCTTTGAGGAACCGCTCCAACGCTCCAGGTCGCTCAGGAAAGCTGAACATGTACAGCCGCTCGTTGGCGACGCCAGAACGACCGCCTACGAGGTACCTGAGATGGCTTTTGGCCAGTTCGTCACCAGAGAGGTCCGTCACCACCATATCTTCGGCTCGGATGCGCTCGATAAGCATGGAGAGTTCCTCGTTTCTCTTAGCCGGTGGTGCCGTCAAGGACAAGCCAATCATGACATTGGCAACGTTCTGGTCGGCGAATCGATAGTTGAATTCGGTGACGGCATAAGGCATGATGGTATCGACGAGTTTGGCAAACGCCCCCGGTCTCTCCGGAATGGTGACGGCCAACAGAACTTCCTTGCCTTCACCGACAGCAGCACGCTCGGCAACAAATCGAAGACGGTCAAAGTTCATGTTCGCCCCAGACGTCACGGCCACGAGGGTGCGGTTCGGGTCTTGCGAGGGGTGCTGGGAGACGTACTTCTTCAGGCCGGCAATAGACAGTGCCCCCGCAGGTTCCAGGCCGGATCGCGTATCATCATACATGTCTTTGATGGCAGCACAAATCTCATCCGTCGTCACCTCGACGACTTCGTCGACGACATCCTGACAGATACGAAATGTCTCTTCGCCGAGCGTCTTGACAGCGGCGCCATCAGCAAACAATCCAACCTCGTTGAGCACAACTCTCTCGCCTTTTCTCAATGATTGGGCCAAGGCATTTGCATCATATGCCTCGACAGCAATGATTTTAACGTGGGGGGCCATGCGCTTCACGTAGAAGCCAATGCCGGCAATGAGACCGCCGCCGCCGGCGCAGCAAAAGATGGCCTCAACCTTGGACATGTTTACTTGTCCAAACAGCTCGTTTCCAATAGTTCCCTGGCCAGCAATGACGTAAGGGTCGTCAAAGGGGGGGATGTTGATAAGCCCGTCTTGTTTTTCCCGTCGGGCGCACTCCTCCTTGGCAGCATCAAAGTCAGCGCCGTGCAGCACCACATGGCCGCCCAATCTCGCCACATTCATGTGCTTAATGCTGGGTGTCCCTTCGGGCATGATAATGGTAGCAGGGATTTTAAGCTTTCTCGCCGAATAGGCAACGCCTTGAGCGTGGTTACCGGCGGAACAGCACACAACACCCTTCCAGCTCAGCGCAGGGTCCAAATGCGCCATCTTGTTGTACGCGCCGCGCAGCTTGAAGCTAAACACGGGCTGTGTATCCTCTCGCTTAAGGAGAACATTGCATTCGAGCCGGTTGCTGAGGTTAACTGCCGGGCTAAGTGGTGTTACTTTGCAAGCTTCGTAGACTCTGGAGGTAGCGCATGCAATCATGCGGAGGTACTGTTGGCGTCGGCAGCTTGGTTAGTATGAAATCCAGATGCGTATTCAGTAGCAACATGGTGTTTCTGTTTCATGGAGACGCACATCGGGATAGCCATTGGGAAGCAACAGGTCGTCGGGAACAGCTTGTCGCAACTTGGCTCTTTTCTCCTCCGATGACGGCGAGGGGTTGATGCTGTAGTCGGTCAAGGCCATGCGGCCAGCGGGCGTTTCGGGCCTGCGGTGGCCATTGGTCTCTTGCAAAACGCCGTTTGGCTCGGCATGCCCAAGGAGAGAAGGCATCTCGAACTTCATGTGAATATGGAGATGGTTGTGTGACGTTGGAAAGACGAAAAGTCTAGAGGTTGTGGCGTCAAACGCTAAAATGGTGACCGAAAACCGCAGCAATCAGTCAAATTCGCCGAAATATCGGACCCAGGATTCTGCACACCAGCTTTTTTTTCGGGGCGGGGGATGCATGTGTCCTATCCTGGCCATCTGCACTGGTCAGCACAAACAATGGGCGGGGTCCCAGTGCCTTGCCAAGTGTCAAACCAGACCAGCGCTCAACTGCCACACCGCACGTACAACAGGCAGCGGTTCGGAGTCTGGTCAAGTCAAGTCAATCTGGTATTGACTACGGAGTATTAGTGGGCGTTTAGGCCAGTGCCGATAAGAGCGGGGGATGACCGTGTTCTTATCTCACCGCGCAGATGTACCTAGGTTACTCCAGGTGGTCCGAAGATGACTTGCCTCATTTGATGAAATCGGAAAGATAAATTATCCCAGCTTAGAAAAAAAGGTATTGTATTATCTTTATTTTCAAACTGAGTTCCTTTGATTCCCTAGGTATCTGAAGTGAAGTACTGCATACAGTAACTCAGCACCTTTACGATTATTTTCCACATCATGTGCCGCCAACCACGAGACCTGCGTACGAGGTGCGTTGTACGTAATTTGTGTGCATTGGGGAGCAAATCAGGAATGGGAATGGCTACCAAAATAGCTGTTGATAGTCGTGAGGCTATTGCAGTTGTCTTGACTCTTGATAGACGGATTGGGCGGGATATCTCTGACATTGAATCCGAATACAGAATGGACAAACCCAGCCACGACATGACAGATCTTGTAATTCTTCAACATTTCTTCCGCAGCGCTTCTACATGTCTGGTTTGAGGCGAGTCGTAGCTCCAAAAATAGGCTAGCGCCTCGACACCCTGCCATCGGCAGTCGGCGGGCTCGGCCGACTGACATTGAATGTCGCCCCAGCCAGTCACACGTGCTTCTGCTCGCAACCCCCTTTCGTTTCTCAAGTGACGAAAGTATCACGCATGCCTTCAGAACATTGAAAGTTTGTCCCCACGCTAACTCTCCATACAGAACATCGAGAAAGCTTGGGCTATGGAATCAAAATCTCAAACTCAAAAAGTACTGCTTGGTGGCCGACGAGTTCAGCTCTTGCTGCCAAGTGAATTTTGAGTCCACGGTATCACATCCTTGAGGGAAGATCCGAAACACGCAAATCGGTTCACAGAAAATGCTGAGCGAGGTTTTCGGCTGGAAACAAAGCTTCGAACAGGATCTGAAGTAATACCCTAGGCCGAGGCAAAAATGTAGCGAGACTACCCTCCAGTCTGAAGCCTTGGAGTCTACGTCGCTGCTGGTGGAGAGTGGCCGCCACAACAATCACCATGACAAGTCACGCTCCGCAATATCTATTTGATACATTTCGATTCCTCAGTTCTGAACCTCCCTTGCTGTGGACGTCCGGTCAAGCCCGAACCGCTGTTACTCTGGAGTGGAAGCTAGCTCTTGGATGCCTACTTTTCTCTCACAGATTGCTCGGTGGTTTAAAAGAATTAGAAGAAATCTTTGTCCTAGAGACTAATATATAGATAGCGTATCCAGATACAAAAAGGCAATCCCAGCTCGCATTGTTATTGTTTCCACAACATGTTTCCGGCACAGACCTGCTGAGACGTGGACTTTGCACCCAGCGCATGTCCCCAGGCCACAGGTTTTTAGGGAAACGGCTGGAGATCTGGCTGCGTGGAATTCTCAACCGCCTCCGCAAACAGCAGTCTGTTCTTATCTAAATCAAAAACAGTATACACGGCCGACCCCCACGGAAACCCCATGCTATTCAGGTTCTCACCTTGCGCTACTGCGTCAATTTGCAGGAAACACTCCCCAGAGGCTCGTTCTTCTGCGTTCAGTACGGTGTTGGAGATTCGGGTGTGGCTTAGGGGTACGCTGACGACGGTCTTGTCGTTATTGAATCCAAACAGGAGCTTATTATTGTCAGATACCACGGCGCAGTCGACAGAGTCGAGTCTGCCGTCTCTGAACCTCGTACCGAGAGCCTTAGCCATAGCTTCGAGCGAGTCGCGCGGGAGTTGGAGGCCGACGCCGCCTGTATCGATGAGGGTAAACTTTTCGGAGGGCTTGAGGCCGAGGTCTATGATGCCGTTATTTTGGTTACCGTTATTTTGGTTGCCATTATCTTGGTTGCCATTTTTGTTGTTCTTCTTGTTGTTTCCCCCGTTTTGGTTATTTTTGCCGTTTCCTTTTTTGTTTTTTCCTCCGTCTCCGTTGTTCCTATTACCTCTATCCCGTTGGTTATCCCATTTGCCTCCATTTCCTCCTCTATCTCCTCTGCCTCCGTTGTCACCATTGTCCTCGTTGTTACCTTCCCTCTTACTTAATACATGGTGCCCATGGCTCCCACCTGAAGGCCGAGGAAGAGCCCGGCCGTAATGAGAACGGCGGACCTGCTGACCTTGTTTGCCTTTCTTGCCCCCCTTGCCCTGCTGGCCCTGCTGGCCCTGCTTAGGTGGGCGATCGTTCATCTGTAGCCGAATAGAAGTCATGTTGACCACAAAGTCAGCAATCTTTCCACCTTGAACCGGATCGATGGGAACTTCCTGCAGTTCTCCTTTGAACTTGCTCTTGTCAATACCTCCAAAGACAACAGAGCCATTCTCGAAGGCTATTCCAAGTCAGCCCAAACTCATACATGGGCTCCATCACAACCTTTTCCGCCAAGGGTGGTTGGAGAGGGGCAAGGAGGAAAAATTGTGTGAAGACTCACCATTCCGGTTCAACACAACACCCATAACATTAGACCCAATAACCCCATTCTCCTTCATCTTGGCCACCAGATTAACATACTTCTTGTCCGTCTGCTCCGCTTCCACCGGTCCGACCCCACAGATTGGAAACTGCGGGAAATCGCCCGGGAGACTTCCATTCACCGCCAACGCAACCTGCGACTCATCCACCTTGGCGCCCCCGATATTGATCGTCGTCTTGATATATGGGCCGTCGAAACCGTCGCCCCCTGAGAAGCTAGCGTTGAAGGTCGAACCATCCACCTGCGTAACGTCTCTGCTCTCGGCAGGCTCAAAATCCCCCATGACGACAGGGGCTTTTCGACATTGCTGGTTTGCGAGCTTGCACACGGCGCTGCCGGCCTTCGGCACGATGATGTCGGAGGAGCCCGTGTCGAAGATGCATTTAATATTTTGGCGCGAATCGCCGAGGTCAATGTGCATGAGCGGCTGGAACGGCCCCGCCTGGAAAGATTCGAAGTGTTCGATAGCAGCGACAGCTAACTTTGCCGGAGGCGCTTGGGAGAGGACATTTGGAGCGAGGACAATGGGAAGCATCCAGTGCTGCCGCATGTTGAAGCCGTTTGCTGGCATCGTGTGTCCTTTTCTTTGCTCTCCGTGTAAGTGAGGTGAAGAGAGGGGGGTTGGGTCGTCGTGAGTCTTGCTATTCATTCCCAAATCGAGCATTGAGGGCCTGGATATATTATGTACGAATTGTTGACTACATTTCGCCGCCATGCTCAGTCCGATCTAGAGGCTGAAACAGCACCGGCGCTCGCATAACGCGGCCCAGTCATGCGATACCGCCTACCATACTCTCTATGCCGAGAATAATATCGCATTTGCACTTCGACGCCGAGTCGTGGCAATACAATCAAAATCCATGGCTATTACTTAGATAAGACGTCATTAGTACGTTATTCTCCGGCAGGGCTGTCTCGGAATAGGCTGAAACGCCACGTGAGTCCCCAACCCGCTCGGGTTCAGGCGACATGAAACCTGCTTGTCATATCGCACGCGTCTTTTTCAGTCCCGAAAACGACCCAAAGTGGAAAGTTGACTTGAGTGAAACGAAGAATATGCTATAGAACAGCGAATGATATCCAGGCACCTTGTTCTAGCCGATCACTTTTCGCTTTGCCCCGTACCCACAGAACCTCGGAGAAGTAGATGGCCGTCAGCCTGGATTGTTTGAAGAATGAGTCGCGCACACTATGGAGAGCCACATTCTAGAAGGATTCATGACTGCAAGCCCAAAATTGAGTCAAGATTGATACAACTCCTCAGTTACTTCGGGTGGCAAAAGTCCGACGTAGAAAGGGAGGGGATGGGGGAGTAACTTATGGAAAACTTCGAAGTTATTCAAACCACCCTATTCTGTGACAATACTAATTAAGTATACTGCTAATACAGAGCCAACTACGATTGAGACAACTCCCAATATGCTCTTATTAAAGCCAGCCCTCCCGCTTGCGTTTCTACTGTTCTACCTCGGCCGCGATCATTTGGATCTCCATGACTGTTTTGCCTGCCAAGAACAATCTGCGAATCAACACTCAACTCGGGTGAAACGCCAATCCTTAGCTTTGGATCAGGCCTTAGCAAAAGGTTTTTGCACAGGCCAGTGGATGTCTTCGAACCAGGGTGCCATGTCATGTTCAGACCCCAGATGACGTCCATTGGAGTTCCCTTATTCCGATAGTCAGTAGCGTTGGGGGTTGTGTGGTTGATGCCATCGGTTTGCCGGGAGGCATCGAAGGCGTCAAAGATGCCGGCTCCCCACCACATACCAAAACGACCCGCCTTGTCTCGAGTTGCCAAAGCTGCATCCATGTTGTACTTTACCCAATGTAAATAGCCGCGGCAGGCGTTGTCGTGAGCAGACTGCACTTTACTAAGCTCGGTTTGGTTGACGTCTGCGTCTCCAGGTATATCCACCGGTGAGATGGGGGCGCAGAATGCGGTGAGGTGGTGAAAGAAGATGCCCTTGAAAGTTTGGCTGTCCTGTGAACACGTCCCATCTGCGTCGCATTGCTCTTCTAGGATTCCGCCGCGACCAATTCCTCGCCAGGGAGGCAACTCCCCACGTGGTCTCTCGTTGACATTATCTATGGGGGCGTTCTCACCAAGGCCCCAGCCCGTTGCTTGGATGACATTTTGGATCAATGTGTGGCCATCCTCTAGATAAGATGGACTACCAGTAACGGTGAACAATCCTCTTTGTCCCGTCAGAATGACGCCTTGGTTGTAGGTGTACACCATCTCATCTCGCTGGTCACACTCCACATTGTTGGGCTTGCTCATATCCACGTGGTAGCCGTCGACATACAAACCCTGACTATTCGTCATGTTGACATCCTTCAGCCACTTGTAGCCCACAATGGCAGCCGCCAGATACAGAGGGTCGTTGGTCGGGAAGCCTTGACTTGCTGTCCAGGCATCATCGAATTCGTCGTTGGGGAAATACTCATACATGGATATGGATGCCGAGATCCACAGTTCGTTGGTGACAGCATTCTTATAGGGGAGCAGCCTGGGATTCCAGACCATGCCCCCGTGACAGAGACTTGTATCCCATCCTCTTGTAGCAAAATCCCAGAACGCTCTAGCTCGCTCAGCAAATGTGCAGTACCAGTTATATCCGTGGAAAGAAATGGTGCCGAGCGCGTCACTGAGTCTACCAGGCACATTCAAGCACGTTTGTTCTGTTCCAGGATAGTGGAGGCTTGAATGGAGGCGAACAAATTTGATTGCTTCAAGCCAGCCAAGGACTACCCATAGCACATCATCATATGCCTGAGTCAAGATGCATTAGTGCTTGGTTGGATATGGGATGGTGAAACGTCCGCTCTCACCTGGTCCAGTATTGCAACGGCATTTTGTCCAAAGAATGAGTGCGTGACCTGAGCAAAGATGGAAGAAATAAGATTTTCCTTTTCCTTCCAGTTGCGGCCCCTCTCAGTCGAATCCAATGACTGGGTCAGAGTTGTCAGCATGCCAGCTATTACAGTTTCAACAACTGCTCCTGTCCAGTCAATCGATGTTGGCCAAGTGCCATTAACAGGTTCAAAGTAGACATTTTGTAAAACTGACAACGCCGAGAAGGCGTCCTCGAGGACCCTTGGATCAGTTTCTGGGGTACTAAGGGAATCACCCCGAGATCTGAGAAAGCCCTCAGGAACAGGCTGGCAACCAGGGGTTGGTGCCTGGTTATATACTGAACAGTAATCGACATCTCCCTTAGGAAGACTGTTTGCAGTGGTCAACGTCGAAGCGACCAATAGACCGAGACTGGCAATGGATAGCAGTCGCGTCATTTTGCACCAATGCGATCAAATGCAGCGACAATCAAAGGCCGGCTGGTATGTTCTTGTAGGTAGGCCACGGCTCAGAAGACGAGCAAGCGCAGAAACCAACCTGACTTCTCCTACCGAGTCGCCGGAGAGACCTTATTTTATATAGCCTCTAAAGATCGTAAGAGGGGTATCATGGGGTATCAAGGGCTGACAGGATATGCCGCGAGAGGTAGGATCGCACTCGCGCCGCGTGCCGACGAATACGATCATCTAATCATGTAACGACAAAGCATCGCCTTGAGACATTGATCCTTGAAACTCGATTTTGTCCCCACAGCAAATTAGACATTCAGCGCTTTTTGCTAAGCCTGAAGGGAGAGTCGCAATTCTTAATTTGTCCCGCATACCGAGCCGCTGTCATGAGAGGAATAAATAGTAGCCCTCAACTTGACATGCGTCGTCGTGATGCGGCCGGTCAGTTGGTACTCTGTAAGCAGGAGTTGACTGACGCGGGTGTGGTCGCGTGTCGACTTTGAATGGAGGGGATCGAGTCCCAGCAGGACGTATCATCAACCAGTAGAAGCTGACCATAGAAGCTTAACTTGCCAAATACCATACAGTAATTTAAGGATATGCTAGTTACAGCAGAATGTTGGAGGATGTGAGGACGTTTAACTGGTGTTTGGTTGCGTCTCGATGGTACTGCAGGGCTTGCGAAACCGTTGTTTGAAGCCGAGTTTCAACGGATTTGGAATTTGTGCCATCCCTTGTCATCGCAACTGGATGCTGTACTAGCCTTCGGATGAATGTAGAGTGGAAATGGGAAAAAGAAATGAGATGCAATCAATACAACCGAGAACCAGCAATTCCGTCACGCGGCTCATGCATTGGCCTTGGCGATAAGCGTATTACTAGTAGTACTAGCTTGTGACTGTGCAACTATGTCGGTTCGTGCAGGTTAGCTCACACATGACCAACCGTGCTTGTCATGCCGACGAAGGCCAGCTGAGGCACCGAAGTCTCGATGGCAAAACTCGAGTTGGAAATAAGGGAACATGAGCATTTGGGGTTCACACGACCATCTCAATAGTGGCATGGAGTAGGTTCAACGGCAAGTTGATGGCTGAATCTGCTGAAAGAGTTCCCATCTTTCCTTCCTATCTTGGGCACTAGATGCAGCCAACTGGTCCGTTTATTCCCGCCCCACTTGCGAGTTTTCTATACACGACGCCACTGGCTGAGCTGGTTTGTTTACTTTCTCCCAAAACAGGCCGATGCCCACCAACCAGAGCGCGCGACGACAAGATCCCCCACGATTGACCTTGGATCCTTCACTTTGCACACCAACTTCGGTGTACCTCGAGTGTCTGGCTCCATGACAACGCCTCTGCACTTCGCCCAACTTGCAGAGATTCTCAGTTACTCTTGACATCCGCACTCCTCATGAACAACATCGGAGGTTAACAGCACGCGCTTCCGCAACTCGCATGCCCCTTCCTGCCTTTTGCGAAGCCCTTCTCCCACGCCATTGAATACGCGCCTGTCGCATACACGCGCTGCCTTACGACCTGGAACTTGGAAACCCCAAACACCATTCACTCTTCGCATCTATTCAATACCACTCGTCGACTCCTAAGCTCTGGCATCGCGTACAACGCGTACTGGAGCCATGGAGACCGACGCTATACATCGGTATCGCTCACGCATTCTTAGAGAAATGAATGCTAACCGCGCCAATCCCTTCAATTCTCCTCCGTCTTCCACGGGCTCTCATGGCACTGTAACCATGTCGTCACTTTTTTCCGACCCGGACGGCGAGTCTACGCGCCGACTCAACGAGGACATTGCTCGTGTTACCGCCCCGAGAAAACTTCCCGTCAATTGGGAGGCTGCCCACCGCAAGTGGCCAGAATACTTCTCCAAGCCCGATACGAACAAGGCACCTATCTTTGATGATGCCAACGATGTACGACCCTGGAAACCACAGTCCAAGGAGAACAAGCCGCCTGTCTCCAACGTCAAGTTCGCCGTTGATGACTCAACTCAGGACATCTGGCCTTCTACGACCAAGACACGTGCCGAAATGCAGCCCCGCGTCGACAACGAATCCGACATCTCTTCCATCCTGGACAAATCACCCGCCAGACCTGTTTCCAATTACGGCGCCACGAAATCCCAGAAAAACCCTAGCCCATTGTCCAAGCCGCACACCCGAGCGCCTTCAGAGCCCGTCGCAAATGAGCAGCGACGTTCCTCAATCACAAATGCCTTTAACCGTCTCCAGCGAGCCTCTCTCAG